TTCCTACTATTCGGTTTTAGTAAAGGGGCCCTAAAATAAAAAGGGCAAAAGGGTACTACTCAGGGACCTAGTGCCAATGGAAAGCCTCGGTTCCCTAAGTCCACGGCTCAATTCCCTAAGATCCTAGACATCGATGATCCCACATAGACGTGACCCAAAGGCCAAAATCATTCGAACACGCCTGCATACTTCTACAAGCACTATCTATCTATCTATCTATCTACCTATCTATCTATCTATCTATCCATCTAATCTAATCTAATCTGATCTAATCTAGTCTAATCTAATCTAATCTATCTATCTATCCATCTATCTATCTATCTATCCATCTATCTATCTATCTATCTAAATATAAAAGAGGACAGACCCGTCACCATCAGAGCGCCTTGAAGAAGTACGAAAGGAACTGCACCAGCGACAACGACCACGACGACCACCACGTCAGCAGTTACTGTGTTCGTCTATATAAACCCTAAACCCTAAGCCCTAAACCCTAAACCCTAAACAGCCTCTCGGCTCCGCACCTCCCAGCGGTGAGGCTGGGTAACGCCAAGGAGGAGCCATGGATGTTTTTCGTAACCTTGCTGCTGCGGATACCCTGGCTGCGAAGAAGGACCAGCTGGTCAGTCGAGGCTGGGTGGTGAGCAGGGAAGTGGAGGCTCTCCAGCCCGATGAGGTGTTCAATGTATGTTTGCGAGTGGAAAGATTGGACACTACAAGACATGGGACAGCGGAGATTGTCAACCTGAAGCTGCCTCAGGGCTTTGATGACGACCCCCCACACCGTACACCACAGTGCACCGGCGAGAAGGTTCAGATCGACTACACTGCAGTCAAGCAGCGGCTGTTGGTGGACCAGGTGTATATGGTGGTGGGTGCCCAAGTGAGAACCAGGAATGGAGTCAAGTACCTCAGGATGCCTGGAACAGTGGAGTCGGCAGCCTGTATCCTCTTGCCCTCCAGGGCGGACGAGATTGTGGGCATTGCTGAACTGTTTTGTGGTGGTGTCAGTTCGTGGTCGCGAGCAGCAAGGCAGTTGCCGGCCTACCCGGTGATCCGTGTTGACCACTGTGGGATGAGTATCTCGACTACATTGCTCAACGAGCCGAGCGAGATATTATACAGTGAGGCAGCTGACCAAAGCCACTTCTCGGTTTTCTGGGGTCAGTCTTTGGACCTCAGGTGGACCTCAGCTTTGAACCATGGCAATGTGGAATTCCTGTGCGCTTCTCCCCCCTGCAACACCTGGAAGGGGCACGGGTCACGACAGGGCCTACTGGATTCTGCAGAGGCCGAAGCATGGTGGGAGCTGGTGATGATTGCCCGCTTTACACAGAGGAGGGCTGTCCTGATTGAAGCTAGCCTGAACTTTGCAAGCCACATGGATGCATCAACTATGACTTCGCTTATGAAGTGGGCTGGGTATTCTTTGATTTGGAAAGGGGTGCTGGACAGCAAACAGATGGTGGCCACAGACAGCCCTCGCTACTTCCTGATCTATTGGAATGCTGCGGACCAGCCCAGTGCAGGCACTCCTTTGAGACTCCTGCGACTGGGTTCCCGGATGCCAGTGCCTTGCGAAGACTGCCTATGGCGAAACATGACACCAGACCTCTTCGCCTCCACGGCGGTCAACCAGGAGATGATGGCCAAGGTCACGAGCAGGGAACTGCTGCCGGTCAACCAGCGACATTGGGCAGGGTCAGCCCTCCACCTCCGCTTGGTGAACCAGCACCAGCCGATGCCACCCATCCCGGCTTCCTACAACAGGGTGCTCCACAAGCCGTGGCCGAGCTTAGCCAAACGAGGGATGCACCTACCATTGACAGAGCAAGATGGCAAGTTGCGACTGTTGAATATGTGGGAAGTGGCGAAAGCTTTGGGCCTCCCAGGAGACCTCATCTTGCCAGAGCCTCCGTGTGATGCTTCCTTGATCTTGTCCCAGGCATTGGCCCCTTCGCAAGCACTCCTGGTGTTGGCTTCGGCGATTGGACACAGGCAGGAGAAGCCCCTTGCAGAGGACACCCTGCTGGTGTATATGGACGCTGGACTTCGCGATCTTCGGAAGGGATGGATGTCGTTTGACCTCCTCAAACCATTCTGCAGAGGAGGATGGGCCACCTTGGTTCAGCAGGGAGCGGAAGCTGAAACTGGACCGGATGGAAGGCTGAGATCCAGACTGGCGAGGCTGCAGCAGCAGCTGGACATCCTGGTCCATGGCAGACCTGGACGAGAACCCCCCTTCCGGGATAATTCATCATTGCTTCGACAGCACATTTTGTGCAATTGGATGTGGTATTGTGGGATTCGGGTGGGAGAAGCTCAGAACCCTGGGCCACCTGGTCAGATGAGGATTTCAGGCCTGAATGTACAATCTTTGAATGCCTTCGTGGATGATAAGAGGATGCTCTCTGGAGATGCTGAGGTGGTTGTGTTTTCCGAGACGTCAGCGACTACTTTCGTGGAACAGAAGGCAGTCAAGCAGGCCCACTCAGCTGGCAGGCATATGCACTTTGGAAAGCCTGTCCCGAAGAGATCTTTTGTGGATTGCCGGGACTGTAACACCAAGGGCAAGGCCCAAGGGGTGGCTATCCTTTCTTCCTGCCCCCTTCGTCGGCCCTGCCAAGATTGGTCGGAGGAGAGCTGGAATACCAGTCGGGTCACCGACTGCTTCTTGGTTACACAAGCTGGCCTGGTCAGACTTTTTGCAGTCTATGGTTTTCACCAGGGACATGAGGACTATGAGCTCAGAAATGAAGGATTATTTCGAGAAGTTATGCAGAGAGCTTCGTCCTTACAGCTCCCAGCAGTGGTGGTTGGTGACTTTAACTGCGATTTGCAAAGCCTGGCAGTTTGGGCAGACATGGATTTCCATGGATGGAAGGATGCGGCACTACTCCAAGCCACCTGGGACGGCCAGCCTCCTGGGATGACCTACAAGGAAAGTTCGCGATTGGACTATGTGGTTTTCAATCGGGCTGCTTCGGCAGCCTTTCAAGGCATGTACCTGTCAGCCCAGCCTGAAACTGACCACAAGTCGGTAACAGCGATCTTTGACTGGTCGGCCATCCCCTCTCATGGGCTGCATCACTGCATGCCATTGGATATGGCGAAGCTCCAGCTGCCACAGCAAGCGGTCCTGCAGGCAGATCCCCCTTTTTCTGCACTGGCCAAGTTGGATGCAGCTCTTCAAAACGAGGATGTGCACAAGTCATGGGACCTCTTCTGTACAACATTTGAGGAGACGATGGATATTCTCCATACCAGCCACAGTGGTAGGCCTATGCCACAGGCCTTCCGGGGAAGGGGACACGCAGCTCTTGTCAAGAAAACCCCGGCACACATCCCAGTCAAGAAGGCGAGATCGGGAGAATTTCAACCTTCTGGAGATGAATCTACGATTCAGCTGCGCCAGAGGGTGCGGCAGATCAGAAGGATGGAGACTTTTCTGGCACAGCAGAAGCGACTGGAAGTAGAACTTCTACCACCTGAAGCGAGGCTCAAACTGGACATGGCCAGGACAATGACGTGGAGAGCAATATTATTGGCACCTGGTTTTCCTCCCTGTTTCAAGACATGGTGGATGAAGGAAGTTCGAGATGACTTCCCTCTCCAGATCCCGGATTCCCTCACAGTTGCCAGCATGATCAGTGATATTAAAGAGTGTGAGGTGCAATGGCGATCGGTGCAGAAAAGACAAAGGGATGCTAGTCTTACTAAGGTGTTCGCTGACAACTGGAAGCAGGGGGGTAGCCTTTTCTACAAGGCGGCGAAGCCCCCGGGGCGACCAAAGGTCGACTCGCTGGACATCCCATCTCACCACAGGATTACAGTTGCAAGAGCCCGGCAAAAAGGACCTACGGTGTGCAGAATGATGGATGATGACCTACAATGCATCCGAGTTGGGTCTATTTGGAAACAGGGGTCAGCTACAGCAAAGGTGGTGTCGGTCAAAGAAGGCAAAGTCTCTGTCCGGAAGTTGAGTGGAAATATCATTTCTGGGGATGTGGTCCAATTAATACCCACTGCGAACCCCTCCATGATTCTGCACCAAGCAAAGGACTACTGGACCCAATTCTGGAATTGCAAGAGAGATCGAGGACCCAGTGATCATACTTTCCTGGAAGCACTTCAATGTCTGCCTAACCTTTCGGATACTCACACCAACTTCGAAATGGCGGACCTGGAATGGGCTCTTTCATCCCTTGCAACGGCGAAAGCCAGAGGCATGGACTCCTTCTCCAACTATGAACTGAAGTATTTGCCACAGCAACTTCGCCCACGATTGCTGAAACTACTCAACTTGTTCACATCCCAAGCAGATTGGCCACCTGGTATATGCAAGGCAAGAATGGCACTTCTGTACAAGTCGGATCAACTGGGAGATATTTCCACCACCAGGCCTATCACGATTTTGGCGCCTGTCTTTCGGCACTGGGCAAAACTGGTTACAAGGAAAATGCTCAAGCATATTCACAGCAGCCTCCCACCAACATTATTTGGATCTGTGCCAGGTAGAAGCACTAATGACATGATTGGCATCATCCAAACAAAGCTGGAGCAAGCACTTCTTGGTCACCAAGACCTTTATGGCATCTCATTGGACTTCTCCAAAGCATACAACACCTTGCCTCGAGCGATGCTGGAGTGTATCAATGCCAAACTTGGTTTTCGGTCATTCTGGACACCTTACAAGGATTTCTTGGATAAATGCCAACGATTCTTTGTGTGCTCAGGGACATGGGGAGAACCAATCCAATCAACGGTGGGATTTCCAGAGGGGTGCCCGATTGCTGTGGTGCAAATGACTGGTGACATGGCTCTGCACTGAATATGTCAAGGCTAAGTCGGGGGCAGAGCTGTATTCATATGTGGATGATTGGACCATTTTGTTGAAGGACCCGGAAAAGGCCTTTTCGGCGGTTGATGCTATCAACAAACTTGCAGGAAGTCTTGGCATGATTTTATCGCTTCGCAAGTCAACTGTATTTGCCAGTAAACTGTGTTTGGCCCGAACCTTGCAAGGAAGGCTGCAGCAACAGGGGCTATCATTGGGAACTTCCAAGAACTTTGCGAGCTTGGGTGTCAACTTTCAAACAGCTGGGCAGCCGTCGACAGAGTTGAGGTCGGATCGGTGGGCCAAGGCCAAGATATTGCTTAACCGGCTACAATATATGCCATGGAGCCAGTACAGGAAAACTCAGATCATCAATCGATGTATCTTCCCGTTAATTTTCTATGGCTGCAACACCTGGAGATCGGGCAAAGATTTCATCAGAGAAGTGCGAGCTAAATGCAACCATGCTGTCTGGGGTAAGAAGCAGTACCACTTGCACTACCTGGCACCCCTGTTCACGGGCATGCACTACGAACCGATGATATACATCGCCAAGTACCGTTTTTCAGCACTGCTTCGCTTCTTTGCAAGACACCCACATTTGGCTATGGAAGTCTGGGATCAAAGCATCACTTCTGCCTCTTACTTCCGGACTCGTACCAAGGGAACCATTTCGATCTTCCAGAACCAACTCAGCACACTCGATTGGGAATTACATGCAGATGGCACCTGTGTCACGGCACAAGGGTGGACCTTTTCTATCTGGAAGATTACTTCTGCACAGTTTATGGAGTGTGTACAACAGTCCTGGGAGCAAAGCCTTCTGCAACATCTGCAGCAGAAGCAGAATTTGGAGGACCTCTCTTCCTTTTCTTCGGACTTCTCGCAGTTCCCCCCCCAGGAGGACAAATGCCTTGAAGGTTTCATGCGAAAGGTTCGATTGGGTGGCCTTTTTCCTTACAAGCGAAGGAACCATGTCACGTTGCAGGAGGACAAGTGCCCCTTTAGTGAAGACACACTGGCTCACAGAGTCTATCTATGCCCTGGCACGGAACACATAAGGGAAACAGACCAGTGGGGTAGAGTGGCTCATCTTCCTCGATCACAGGTGTTGGGGGGTTTGGCCACCTATCCTGGTGAACTTGAATCTTTCTGGCAGGCACTGGATGCTTTACCCGACCCACAATTGGTGCACCTTCCCAGACAAGCTTCCAGAAGATACTTTTTCACTGATGGTTCTGCTTTTGATCCGGGGCACCCCAGAGCCCTCCTGTGCTCGTGGGCTGTCACCGAAGCTGTGTTACACTCGCCGGTCAATCAAACTCGTGCGTCTGGCTTATTGGTTGGTCGTCGTCAGTCTGTGTTCAGGTCTGAACTTCAAGCGGTCAATGCTGTGGTGGCTATGTCGGAGCAGTGTACAATCTTCTGCGACAATGAAGCTGTGGTGAAACGTGTACGTCAGATCCTCGCGGGCAGCCTCCCGGATACCACCCTGATACAACATGCTGATCGTGACCTCCTCAAGACTACTTCGCTGTTGCTCCAGAATAAGCATGTTGGTCAAGTCGAAATACAGTGGATGAAAGCTCATCGATTGTACTTTGAAGCGGTGGGGACACATGACCTCTGGTGTATACATCATAACAACAAAGCCGATGAGGCAGCTAAGGCGGCAGGCAAGCAGGTCCCGTTGGAGCTTTTACATGCCCAGAGAAATCTGTTGAAGCGGATTCATTCTGATGTTCGGGTGAGGTCTGATGCTGCATTCATTCTGCGAAAGGTGATGGACGAATTCCTCGATACCTAGTTTATTACGGTGGATGTGTGATTGTGCAAGCTTTGCAAACTCTTGGCTTCGGCCATGCATACCCGGCAAGGTCTGTGGTAGTCTCACGCGTACGCTGGGGACTATCAGTGCAAGGTGAACCTAAACCCTAAACCTTAACCCCAAAGCATTGTAGATCAGATTATCATGGCATTCTCACCATGGCGGACTCTGAGGGTGTTCTTGTTCTAGTCCTTCCGACCCCTCTGTTCTATCAGGGCATCTCACAGGATTTAGGGTTAGGGGTTAGGGTTTAGGGGTTTAGGGCTTTAGGGGTTTAGGGTTTAGGGTTTCGGGGTTTAGGGGTTTAGGGTTTAGGGGTTTAGGGGTTTAGGGGGTTTAGGGTTTAGAATTTAGGGGC